TGTCTGCTTGTTTTTGTGTACTGTGCAGTTTTTAGGACTTGAGTTTTGATCAGCACGACAGCAGATACAAGAGTACTAGCAAGTCTACAATTGTATCTGAGAGATGGCGTGAGACTTATGACGGTGCTTGAGCTTGTTGTGCCTTGGCATTAGATCGCATTCTAACTTTGAGATACTTTCGTGCAGCTATCGTACGCTTAATCAGTCACCCTGAAACATCGTGTTGAATATCATCCAAAGAGCTCAATCCCTAGGCACACAATATACAGTAGCGTACTTTTCGAGATAAGACAGGTGTGTAAAGCAATTATTATTCTGATACTTAAGGTTGACATTTACAATTGGGTAATTCTTTGTGTGACTCAATTGTTTAATCAATTTCGATAGACCTGCAGCGAGTATTCAACATTCACCTTTATATGACCCAATGATTCACAGTTATGTGACCTTGCCCCTAATAATTCGCTTACAACAAATTAGAGATGACAGCGCGAAAAGGCATTTGCACAGTACGCAAAAGCTCAAACGAATAAAAACATACTCAAATAAATCAATTACAAAATATATATTTCTTTGAATTATGAGACATGCACTTGTAAATTTTTAGTGATTGTTTAATAAGAGAACTCATTTTGAAAAGCGAAAAGATGCATATTTCAGATACTATTATTAGTATTATTAAGCAATAGAAATTGATAGATATAATATTATAGAAGATCTACAGATGCAATTATTGACTTCTGTTCGAAAAGCAAATTTGTAAAATTGTCAATAGTAATTACTTTAGATTCAGATTGAGAGAGACCCTTTTAATTTCTGGAAAATTCTAGGTTCGAGTCATTTCAATATGTGCCGCAACCACAGTATTTTGCATGTGCGTCACGATAAACGTGAATTAAATAACTGTATAGTTACAGTCACGCATCTAGATACGACAAGTACTTTAATCAGTATAAGATACGCCATGCTTGAAGTATAAGTAAGCTGCGATCAAAGGAAAGCAATGTCAATGTGGATCAGATCAGAAACACAAGTAAAATTTAGAACATGAATTGTACGTTTCAAGTGGGCACTCCACCTAGTTGCTGCCCATTGGGTTTCGCTCCAATAAGCGCAGCCAGTCTCGATTGCTTAGCCACCCAGATGGGCTTCTTAACAAGTATATACGCGAGTACGCATGGACAGGCGGCTCAGCGCAGCGCTGTCGTCCCCATTTGCAAGCACTTCCATTACCAGGAGACCGCCCCGGAGTCCGGCCGCAATATAACCTTGTGCCGCTTGACGTATACTTATATGCGATATATATCGCGTGCGAGCCGAAAACGACACATAAACCATAATTAAAATCGAAAAGTGTTGCCCCAAAAGCCAGGTACCAAGTCGCAATTCGAAAACCAGAAAACGCGCGCTTGCGCATTGCGCACCTGTTTACAGAGACAGCCCCCCCTCAACCGCTCCCCCATCTCACTTGGCAGTTGCCTGTCCGGCCAGTTTTGCGTTTTATGAAACAATTACGAGTTCCAATCGCAGTCGCAGTCCAAGACCAAAAAAACAAAAAGCAAACCAAAGCCAAAGCACATCGATTCGAGCTAAATAGCACCGAGCTGAGCCGGCGGCTGCCAACAATGTGAAGTCAATTCGAATCGAACACCAAGTGGCCCAAGCAGTTGGCCAACTTGGGCAACTCGGCCGCCAACCGGCGGAAGGCTCGGGGGCCACAGCGCAGCAACAATGCAACATTTTTGTGTACAGTGTTGCCAGCTGTCGCTTCAGACAAGCAGCCAAATCCAATGCTCAAAAAAGCTATAAAAACAAAAACAGCTAAATTAGCTTTAAAAATTGGCAATGTTGGCTACACAAAGGTGCAAAGAGCTGCCTCCTGTTGCACAGTTGCCACAGCAATGCATTCAACGTTAACCTTGTTGTTTTTTTTTTTTTGTGGTCGCATAATTTTGCGTTTACATTTGTTTTTAGTGGGTGCAAAATACTTTTGTAGGGTCAGACACACCTGTGTCTAGAGTGTCTAGAAGCATTCCGAAGCTTCTATTTTTAATATTTCACAAATTTCTTAAGCACACGACAGAACAACTTGTCATGAAGGAACCACATAATGAAAAGCATAATTTAACAACTCAATCTTTTATGTTTCAAATATTAAAATCCGTTTGAAAACAGCCAGATTGGCAGGCACCTGCAAATACCAGCTGCTGCTTCCAGCTAACGGCATCTAAAAACCATTGAATTTAGCTAGAAAATGGCCGATTTGGCAACACTGGCAGCGGCGCACAGTGGGCAACAAGACCACCGTATCCAATTGTAATCCCACATTCAATTTGCATTCATTTAACTTACATCTGTTCTTGAAAAATTAAGTTGTTTTTATATTTTATATCTATAAAATGACAGTTTGTTAATAATAAACACTTGAAATAACATATACTTTTTTTGTACCTATTCAAGACTTACTGTTATCACACCTGAGTGGGTGATTAGAAATAAAGGTCACTTTGTCTGCCCATGAAAAAAATCTAGATATTTCCATGCCATCCATAAATGCGACTTTCATATAATTACAACTGGTTGTATCTTAAGATTGATCTTACTTAAAATTGAGCATTCGATTGCAAAAAAAAAATGGTTTTTTAATTTAAAGAAAAATAAATAAGCAAACTTTCACAATTGGGTGACACCTGGCGATAAAATTTCTGGACAATTCTCAGGAAATTCTCAGCCTTCATAGGCTTCACCCCCTAGACATTCATCAAATTAAGATCAGACCCTAAATTACTTAATTGTATGTCAAGGCTTAGCCCTAAGTATTTGCCAATTTTAGTAGTAGAAAACAAAAGATTCGGGATGTCGAAACCCGGGTAACTATTACAATAAAAACAACATGAATAGGGTTGGCATCTTTCGAAACTTATGTTTAAGAATTTGATAACTCGAAAAATACTTGTAGATAACACTTTGATTTATAAATATAGATATATATATATATATATATATAAATATATTTGTATATATATTTTAAAGAGTTATGCTTTATTCTATAGATATAAGAAACAAGATATTGTTTAAATGCTTGGATACCCTAAAGGATCTGCCTTTACATTGGCTGCTGTTGCCAATAGCCACAGTGCGCGCGGTTCTGGCCGGGCTGTTGGCCCGGTTTGCCTACGATTGGAGGAACTTTGATCGCCGATTGCTTCGATGCGATCGGTCGCCTTTTTAGCTTTGGCGTAAAATTGTGGAGCATTGTTGTTGTTGTTGTTGTTGTTGCTGTTGTGGCCATTAAGGCAACAACTGCTGCACAGACAGCGACAGAAACCTGTAGAATTTACAATTACAACAACACCGACAACAACAACAATGTTTTTTTGCTCGCTGCCGCATTTGCAATTGAAGCGTGGCTCAAAGTGAGCGTTGCCTGCCAACCCCCCCCCCCCCCCCCCCCCCTACACCCCTTACGTTCGCTCAACGTGTTTCAACGTGTTTTTTATATAACTTTTTGTATGCGCATAGTTTAACTCTTGTTGTTGTTGCTTTTCATTAAAAAACTTGCTGTTGTTGTCTGGCAGCTTGCTCTGAAATTGTGGTTGTTATTGTTGTTGTTGTTTATGTTGCTGCTGCTGCTATTTGTTTATTTCTGCATTTTTGGTGGGAATATTTGGCAGTTGTTGTTGCCGCTGTTAAAGTTGGAATTTTGTTGTCGAGATTGTTTGTTCGTTCGTTTATTCAGTATGCAAAACGATTGAATGAATGAATGGGCCAACTGCAGCCGCCAACTGCTGTGACGCATGCCTGGAATTTGATTTCTAGCAAAACAAATTTGTTTTCGTTTAGTAAAACATTCAAATGAAAACCCATAAAGCGACCCTTAAGTCTGCTAATCTAAGCCAAAATTTAAGCCATATATCCAAAATTCCTAATCTATGTACGATATGAGGATAGACTTCAAGTTTATGAACGACAATATAAATACGTCTGATATAGGTATACATCTGAATTGTATGATTTTCAGTATAAATATTAACTCAGAAACCGCAGATGATAATCAATATTTATAAATTTTTTCGAGAAATTGAAATGGTTTTCTAAAAATATAGACAGTCATGTCTAAAATAACGTCTTGATCTAGAATATAAGCCCTATTAAAGGCGGAGAAGTCTCCCTCTGTTGAAGATATTCTCTCGCACAGCTAAAATATGCATGTTATAAACCCTTTTCTACAACAGGGCTCCAATTACAGGGTATAATTTCAGTTTATTTCAATAAAGTTGCTTACAATGAATCAAAAACATGCTTTCTGAACACTTTTAAAGAAACGCAATTAAATTTTATTTGAGTAAAGTTAAAGATGCCATTAGGAATTGGTTAACGTGCATTGTTGCACAGACTTTTTAAATCTTCTTTTGTTAGGCTGTAAATTACTCCAATTTAAGCTCAAATTTATTTTTACTTGTCTTGTTTATGATCAGAGGAAATTGTGAACAGTTAAAACTCTTTCTCTGCTCTCTGATGACTTGCAGCGTATTCCGCAATTGTGTTGAGCAATTTGCCGATTATCTCATAATCAGCTTCGCCTCGCCTTACACTCAATTTGAGGCGAGTTGGGTTTAATGAAGCTGCAAATCGGCTCGGAAATCAACTTTTGGTTACATCAGCTCCAAAGAAAACAACAACAACAACAACAAAAGCAGATACATAGATGAAACAAATTTGATTTACAAAGCAACGCGATTGCATTTCAATTTTGGCATTTGCAACAAATTTGTGGCTGTGTGCGTGTGTGTGTGTGTGCTGCCAATTTTGGCGCGCAATTCAGTGAAAGTTGAGCTTTTGTGGTTCATTTGGAGCTAGCTGAAATGTTGATCAATATTCCGATATCAAGTGCAAAGCGAATATCTTAAGCAGAGACAAGCAATAAGGCCGGTGAAAAGCACAGGCAATATTTTAATAAACCAATAAAAACCGAAAATGAAAAACAAAGGATTACTCACCAAATTGGTCAACAGGTGATTGCGCGTTTGTGATAAGGGCGGGACTCTAGAAACTGGTTGGGCAATTACTGTTACAATTATTTGTGGCTTTAATTCACTTTCTTTGGCGATAAGAGGGCACTTGGGCATTAACCCTTATGTAAACACTTGTTTTATTTTTTTTTTTTTGGGTGCCCAGTTTCCGCGTACGGCACAAATTATTTCTAATTTCTTATTTCGTGTGAATTGCCGCTTTGTTTTCTTTGTAACGTTCACACTTTTCACCACTTGCAATTGATTTTTTCTTCGTCTTCGTGTATTTGTTCGTTTCTTCTTGTGTTTTGCTTTGTGTGTTTCCTTCTATTTCTGTTTTCCAAGCAAAACCAAACAAAAACGAACACAAACTATGCGAGTGAGTAGTTTGTAGTTTGTAACTGTGTTCGTGCGGTCTCTGTGTGTCTCGCTCTAACCGGTTTTTGTGTGTGTTTGTGCTTATCTTGTTGTTGTTGTTGCTGCTGCTGCTGCTGCTGTTAGCTGTTTCTTTTGCGCAGGCGCGGCGGCGGGCAACGATTGGCTGTTAAATGTTGCAATTGCAGCAGTGGCCAAACAAATTGTTAATTATTTAAACACTGTTTAAGGAATAGAATTCGTTGGCTAGTCCTTATTCTGTAACTACACACGATCGCATGCACATACACATACACATACACACGAATAACCAGTGTTGCACAGGTTCAGGAATGCAGGCAAACAGGTGTCGATGTCGCGTTGTTTTGGCTTCTTCTTCTTGGCCTGCTTTGACTTTATGCTTTTGCTTTTCGCGCTGCTTTTGTTTTGGTTGGTGTAAGTCGATTTTAGGCCCTTAGTACGCGGTCATTTCGTTGTTAGTATTAAATAAATTTAGCATTTTAGTTTGTATCAAGCGTCATGTGTATTTTCACACTAACGTTTGGTTTGAAAACAAATATGAGCACACGCGCTTCGCTCTACTCTTCGGTTTGACTTCTGATATGCAACTGTTATTGAAAGCAGCCGAACGACTGTATCGATAATGCGATAGGCGCACACCGATAACTTTCAATCGAATTTATTTATATAGTGTGACCCTTTTGCAAAGGCTGCCAACCTGTTAGATTCTGGGTAACAGGTGCAGTTAAATGCTGCGCAAGGACAACGCTTGCTTAAAGAATTTAATCACTGCGCACTCTTTATGTTTTTCCTGTTCACCAGTTTCTTGTAAATATTTTCATTTATGATTTGCTATCTGCTCATGAGCCAGTTCCATAGCCAACTTTGAGTTGACGCAAAAATGAGCAGAGCCCACTTCACGAGAGTTAAAAATTTGCGCGCAGCCACCTTCATGTAACATTGATATTGGCGCGAATATAAATTCAAAATGTTGTCAGCGCATTTAATTCCTGGAAAATCCATTTCATTTCTTCGAAATGAAAGCAAGTTATAATTTACAAAAAATTGGCTGTCAAACATATAGGAAAACCGAAGGCTTTTATTGTCATGTTAATCCATTTTTCAAAAGGCAATGAAAAGTTATGGCTTAAAGAGGATGTAAGGTGAGAATAGATCTCACAATTAGGTCCTAATAGTTTCAAATCCATGAATCAAATACAAAGCGAATTATTAAAACTTAATTATATTAATAGACATTATTTTTAAAATGTTACTTATTACGGTCAAAATACCTAATATCCATTTCATTTTCTAGTTCCATAACGGGATTCTAAATCCTTGAATATATCACTCGCTGTTTTGGTTTCATATTCCCGCAATATAAGCCACGCTTCCAATGTACTCAACAGAATGAACTTGCTCTTGGGACACTATTGCATACAGAAAAGTTAAATACCCATACATATTAATGAGTTAATTAATGTATTAGACCTCATCTGGACAGTCGCCACACCACAGTCCCCTAGCGTCCAAATAAGAACGCAAAAGGACCCGCCACTGCCAATAGTTATTATCATCAGAGAGCTTTGGGATATTGGTTACCTGAATTATGGATTCAACTGGATTCAACTTGCTTGAAGTTCTACCATGAAAAGGCATTTGCACTACTTATTTATATTTAAATTAATTTTTATTTTGTTTTGATTTAAAAAGGCCTGAAAATGAACAACAAGCAAAGTTATGGAAAAACCAAAAAATAGTTTTCAATAATATGAACGAAAACGTTCTTCTGGACTTTTTCAATTGCTTTCAATTCAAATTACCTTAAAAAAATAGTTCTGAATCTTATGTGATACATATTTTCAACGAATAAAATGTTTTTTATTAATTTTATATTTGTTTGTAAGATATAAACTTTAAAAACTGACTGCTTTAGTAGTAACTCGATATAATGTTTCCAACGTACCCCACATCATGGAACTACTCAACATGTCGGAAATACAAAAAAAATTAAATCAAAATATATTTAAATAAGTAACTTATCGCATAGCTCCCCGAGGCAGACCACAGTCCCACAGCGACCAGAGCTACGGAATATGGAAGTCAACTGAATGCAATTTGCTTGAATTTCTGCTAAGAAACTTCATTCGGACTATTTGTTGATTTATATTTTTATTTTATTGTATCTGACAGGGAATGGCTAGGCTTTGACAATGCGAGAAATTAAATACATTAAAAGCAAAGCTATGGAGAGACAAAAGTGGTTTTTCTTTCTCATTAATATGGACGGAACCGTTCCTCTAGGCTCTTAAATATTTGCTTGGGTGACTCGTCATCATATCCTGGCTCAATCTTGTCAGCCTGCACAGTGGCCAAAAGTATGAATTTTGCATGTGGGCTCTATAAGCAATAAATTAATACAATAATTTTGTATTTTTCTGATTTTTTAGCTAGACTTAAACCTACCTCCTTTGGGTGATCATCCCGCCACAGGTCAGCAGATTCCAAGTAGGCGCGCAAAAGCATACGCCAGTGCCAGAAATTCTCCGGGCCATACAACTTTGGTATCGCCGAGAAGTCCAATTGAACGTGACCCGAACCGCTGAACATTTCGATTAGTAATAACACATAAATTTCTAGTTAGTCAACGCTCTGGCTAGTCGATAAATCAAAAGCTTCGCCTTTAGAACTTTGACTATCTTGGCTTAACATTTCAGGGGTCTTACAGCCCAAAAGAGTTTTAGATACACACAAATGTTTATCGAGCAGGTGAAAAGTGTTAAGCGTTTAGCAACAACTACTACACAGACAGAAAAAATTAGAAATTTTTTACTTGAATCAAGTTTTTTTTCTTTTGTTATAAGCTTATTTCGAAATAGCCAATCTCTTAATGATCTTAAAACTGATATTAAAATCAAACAAATATAACCAAACATGTGCCCAAGCTCTCTGGACAACTAACATATATCATATATTTAACACAAGAATGATTAAAAATGGAGTAAAAATATTTTGGTTTATTAAGATCTTGTCCATTTATTAGGTTTTCTGTATTCTTTATACACGAGCCAGTTTTAGTGTTTTTTATATATGAGCTATATTTTATCCAGACTGGATATCGCTAAATCACTATAAGGAAGAATAGTTCGAAAAATTAGATTTTGTATTTGTTTTTGAAACTATCTTGACAAAACCCGATCTATATTAGCTTCATGGTATGCCCTTACATCGGACTGCTATATCATATAGGTCTACAGGAACAATCACTCTAAGGAGGTAAGCTACAATTCACAATTCTCTTCACATGTTTTTAGTAAGCCATAGTTGTAAGAAAGCTGTAAGCACTGCTCTTTTCTTTTTATTTTATAATAGATCCAACGAATAAAGATTGCAATCACAGTAGCTAAAAATGGAATGTTTTATGCATAGTGAGAGTTGGCTTCATCGTCAAAAGACTATGATAATTAAATATTTTACTAAAATGCTGCATTCAATCTCTTTCTCTATTGGTATATATAGTATTTCACTATAGTATTTCATTAAGAGCAGTTGAATTGAACGTCAAAGTTTCAGTTAATAATATCAACTTTTAAAATAGCTATTGCTGGGGCTCGCTGATAAAGCAAAAGTTTCGTAGTTTTCGTAGTTAAAGCTTTGACTACCTTATCTGAAAATTTCCTGGGGGCTTTAGAGACCAAAAGTGTTTTAGTTGGATGCACACGAATGTTTGGAGGGCAAGCGGAAAGTGTTAAGCGTTCAGCAGCAACAACTATTATTAAAGCATTCAGACTCGTGCATATCTGTACAATTAAACCATTAAATTATTAAAAATCGAATCAAAATTGGGGCGAAAATTATCACAGCCAGCACAATGAAAATGAAAACCGAAGTAAAATAATCGCCACAAAATTTGTCAGCGCAATTTATTTAATACACAAAGACCTCACATGGAACACACAACACATTTAACAGTGTGTGTGTTCATCCACAGAATTGATGCGAGTGTATTCATTGTTGTGGGTGGTCGTTAGTTTGTTTAATTTTACACACACACACACACACACACACACACACACAAACACACACACGTATTATTTATTTGCACATAAATTGAAAGCATTGATGACACTCTTCGATATATGCACTGAAATGCAAGCTTCGTAACATATTATTCTACAGTGTATTATTTTTGTATTATTAAAAACTATATTATTAAATGCTTAACGTTGTATAAAATTGTTGGGTATTTCTGGAAGAAGGACGTAAAAAGATCAAGGCGTATATGCTTTATTAATTTTGTTAACGAAACTTAAAATAGTAATAAAATAATTACACATGCATATTTTGACTTTTCATAATTTGATATTTTCATTAATAAATTATAATTTTTTTATATAGCTTACTCAGAGTTCTTAGAACCAAAACGATATGCGAACATAAAAAATATTCATTTATCATTGGGAAACTCTCAGAAATAATAATCAGTTATGTGCTCATAAAAATATTGAACAATTTGCATTGTTTGTTAATTAATCTTCATCAAGAGGTTCAGGCAAACGTTTGAAAAACCTGCTAAAAATCCACATGTGAGAGCATTGAAATTTCGTTGTTAACTTGTTGTTCTCTTTTATTACTGAAATCGTTTTTGTGTTATGCAGCTCGGAAAATCCCTGAGTTGAGGCGAGCTTTAAACTGAGGTCATTTGCTAGTTAATTTATTGGTGGACGTCCGCTTAGGGCGCTGCCCTATATAGCCAAGCGGCACGTCACTTGGCCAAGTTAGTTGCCACTGTGTAGGCGATGAATGCATTACCAATACTAAGCCTGTTGCTGCAGTTGCTCGCTGTTGGTGTTCGGTGCTGGAGCTTCGGCGCCATCAGCTCCCTGGCGGAGGAGAGCGCACCGCAGCCCAGCGATGCGGCCAATACGGATAATCACACGCGTAAGTGAAAGTGCTAACAGTTATTTGAGCCACTAATTCGACTGCGAGTGCGTCTTGCAGTGCTCACGCGACAGCTGATTGTGGGAACCCTGGTGCCGCCGCAGGTGCCCCCCGCTGGCTGGCCCTCTGTGCCCTCCATTGTGGCGCCCGGCAGCAGTAATTGCCGTTGCGTGCCGACGGGCTCCTGCCCCAATCCGCTGCCCTCGCTGCCAAACGATGGCAGCGGTCAGCTGGACATACGCATAGTGAACAATGGCGGACTGGTGAGCCATTTGACGAGGAGCCCAAATGTACTCAGGCATAATTCTTACTGCGTTTCTAGGCCACGAGTCCCACGTCGTCGACGCCCCTCTCGTGCAGCTATGGACTTGTAGCATGCTGCCAGGCTGGCAGCTATCAGTGTGGACTGCGATTCCCGCCGCCGGCGGGCTCGGCACTGGCTGGTCCTGGCCAGGCCAGCTTCGGTGCGTATCCTTGGCAGGCAGCGCTTCTGACTACGGCGGATGTGTATCTGGGCGGCGGAGCACTTATCACAGCACAGCATGTCTTGACTGCTGCCCACAAGGTCTACAATTTGGCGTAAGTGCAGCTATCCTCACTCGGCACAGAACTCTGCTAATCCTTATCAGTTTGACATCCTTTAAGGTGCGCTTGGGCGAATGGGATGCGGCCAGTATCAGCGAGCCGATACCTGCGCAAGATGTGTTCGTCTCCAATGTGTACGTGAATCCCGCCTTCAATCCCAACAATCTGCAAAACGATGTGGCCATATTGAAGCTAGCCACGCCCGTCTCCCTCACGAGTCGCTCCACAATTGGCACTGTCTGTCTGCCCGCCACCAATTTCGTGGGCCAACGCTGCTGGGTCGCTGGCTGGGGCAAGAATGACTTTGGACCGACGGGAGCCTACCAGGCCATTATGCGTCAAGTGGACGTGCCTCTGATTCCCAACGCCAACTGCCAAACGGCGCTGCAAGCCACACGCCTGGGCGCCTCCTTTGTGCTAAGCCCCACGAGCTTTATCTGCGCCGGCGGCGAGGCTGGCAAGGATGCATGCACTGGGGATGGCGGCTCGCCGCTCGTCTGCACCAGCAATGGCGTCTGGTATGTGGTTGGACTCGTGGCCTGGGGCATTGGCTGCGGCCAGGCAAATGTGCCCGGCGTCTACGTCAATGTGGGCACCTATTTGCCCTGGATCCAGACAACACTTACGCTCTAAACAATTGAGGCTATGCGGCGGCGGAAATAATTCCTACACATTGGGCAAAATGTCCAAAAAGCCAACTAACACTCGGCTGAATAGCAGTAAGAACAATTTATTAGAAATTAAATACTTTATTTATCTTATGGTTATGCAAGAACTAGAAAGCCTAAACAAAATCAAGCGAAAACTCTAAGAAATGTTGCATTTTTGTAAGCAAGTACACCAGGCTTTGCCCGGGCCAATTGTTTTTATTCAGTTTTCATCAGCCGAAGGTTTCTTGCAAATCCATATCCCGAAAGATAAATGGAACTCCCCAAAGTTAATGAATGAAGTCGATCGGAGGAAAAACGAAAAAACAGTTTTCACAAAGGCCTTCTTAGTACGAAAAGTTAAGTCTCCAAGCTTTCAGCTTTATGTGTCAATCATCAGTCAGTTATTCAATCGGTCAATAATTCATTCAGTCTGTGAGTCTCTCAGTCAGTCAGACATCGAGATCTCATGTTTATTGCCCTAAAAATCCACCTGAGCATTTACAAAGACATTATTCTAAAAGCTTTACATTGGCAATTTTTATGATGCGGTAAATTAAAACGAACTCGTTAAACAGAATAATTTACAGCCCAAAACAAATTGAGTTAAATGCTTTTTTATGCCGCAAATCGTATTCAGATGTGCTATAAAAAAAAACCCCTTTACCTTGTATAAAATTAATTGCTTCATTTGAACTTTTACAATTGTGCTTAGTTGAGCTCATTAAAAAATCTAAAGTCTAATCAAATATCGTTCACAAGCTATCCACAATTTTGTCTCTGATCGAAATTAAATGAATACAACTTACAAAAATTATGTTTTGACAATATTTTCCCCAGTCTTAAATAATGCCTTTTTGAGTGCTGTAAATTACATACAAATCAGACAATAGACAATAGTAGAGCATGGGACGAAGAAGTTTGACTTTAACAAAAATTTCATTTATGTGAAAACTACTCTATAATTTACAATTTATGGAATATTCGAATTGTAGCTCGATTTCTAATCACGGTTAAGCTAAAAGTATCCAGTATAGGGTATAGGATCGTATTCTTGTCAAGATTTTCGCTTCGAAGGAGAGAGAGTGTCCGACTTTGAGAAATCCCGAAGCTGGCGCTCTTCTGTCGTTACAAACATTCTTTGCTTCTTCTATCTTTAATGGCTTCTTGAAATAGTTTGATAGCTTAAAAATAATTACTGTCCAACCTTATATAGCATCTAAGTGTGTTTGAATATCAAAGCTATACCAAGCTATTCCACAAGGAGGGAGGTATCCAATAAATATAATATGCCGCATTTGACTATATATGGGATCGATATGCAAAGCTACTCTAGCTGCAAAGAAATCCGATATATGTTCAAAAAGTAGCATAACGATAACGATTTTTATCGATTTCAAGCAGATTTAATTTATCGTAAGCGATTTTCATGAACAA